AATAGCAATACAGACAATGGACTCCGGACTAGTTGCTGCCAATGTGACCATGCTGCGAAAACAAGGTCAAGCAACCTCTATGAAAAAAATAATATTTCCTTTTTGGGATATTTTGGGCAGGGGTGTATAGAGGACGATAGCATATGTTTTCTTTAGCCCTTATTTTTTCTCCAACAATTGTTGAAAAACAAAGATTGACATTTCGAAAAGCATTACTATAGCAAGCAAATGATTAGCGGATATATACCATTGGGATAATGAGTTAACTTCTCCTACTCCAGACTTGATTGACAACAATGTCAAATTAATAAAAAAATTGTAGATATTTGAGAAGAAAGAAAGAATCAGAAGCCTTTTCTCATTTTAAAGATCCAAATCAGGCTGCTATAAATTAATGCGTTCATGTGTTCACCTCATTCTACAACGAGGAGCTGGCTTTACTGCTCGAAGTTGGCAGAAAGTGAACATGAGATAGAATGCATATATGAAGACTAAGGTGGTGTGGTCTTCTGGTTGCCTTCTGGTTCTCTTCTGGTCTAGTGTCGGTTCCATCTTGTTTTCGCAACTTGCTCGGAGCGTCAAGGAGGCATTTTGGAACGTTTCCATTCCTTTGTCCTTTACTTTAGTATTCGTGATTTCTAGCTTCGAACAATTGACTTTGTACATTCTCAAAGGTTTATTCCCAAGCTACCTTCGATAAGGTCTCCCTGACACTCCGATCTATATGGTCTTAAACTGGCATTTTTGCTAATTATCCTATGCTTGTATCAAAGCGCAAATTTAAAGCTGTGTGTCAGGAATACCGTTGACAGGGTAAGCAAGCACTACTTACTGACATACTACTTATTACTTACCTCATCTGCCGCACACGTGTCCACTCCTGTATCCGGCATCACGCAAACATGGCCAATAAAATGGTCATTAACTCTGACCACAGAGTCGAATTATTTGGTGCTACTTAAAAGCTAATAGTAGCAAAATTTACACAATATACACTCTCTCTCTCTCACACACACACACGCAGAAATACATATTGACATGCATACATTTACAGACGAGAGTTCGGCTCTATTTTCGTCGAACTCGAATGAGACCGGCTCGAGGACGGTGTCGGGCAAAAGAGGGCGGATCAAACGAAACGAAGTCGACCTTCGAGGCCTTCGAGGCGACACTTTCGGTAGCGATAATTCATAAGATGCCTCAAAATGCAACATTTACTCGACGTCGTCTGGGCTCGCGGATAGACAAGTCTCGTGACTTGGACGCTCCGACAGCCGAAGTTGGTCCGTCTTGAAGCGCATTGTATGAACTTTTGTGAAGTGGGCATCGCCACAGACGTCATCAGAGCACGGAGCCTGTCTGCAGGAAATCTTCCCCGAGCCCGAACACAAAACGACTGGACGGCCCCAGCTCTACGCGATTAGTGAAGAGTGCCACTTTGCCTCAACCAACGCATACTTCCTTCGCATGTGAGCAGACCGATAAAGAGGGTGTGGACGAAATGTGAAAGGAATGTGCCTGTGACCGAGCAGCTGCTTCCACATCACAATCCCTTGCAGCCATATTCTGCAATGTTGACGTGTCCACTTGTCTTTTTCCCTACTCGTCTTGTGTGCACTCGATGCTAAAGTGTCTGAGGAGTGGTATGGCTCCAATCAAGAGTACCTTGCTCTGCTGTACTTTCGTCTCTTTGGCACACTCTCGTCCGCTCTCCCACTTCTTTTCTTCATTCTTCTGCCAACTTCTAACTCTCTCACCCTCTCTTCCTATACCAATCTCTCCTCCATATCCTTCTCCCTCTTTTCTACCTCTTCCTCTCTCCATATCTATCCCACTCTCGCTCGCTTTTCTCTCTCTCTCTCTCTCTCACTTCTTCAAGCTCACTCTCTCCTACTCTCGCTTGCTTTGATCCTTCTCTTACTCCAACCACTTTTCTCCATTCCCCTGCCAATTTTAACCTCTCTCAATTTTTCTTCCTATCCTATTTTCTCCTTTCTATCTTTTTCATTCTATTTTTATTTTCTTCTCTCCTTCATCCTCCTCTCTCTTTCCTCTTTATCCTTACTCCACTCCTCTCTCTTCTTCTCACGCTTATCTTAGCTTTTACTTTCTCTCTCTCTACTCCTCTCCCACCCTCTCTTCATATCCCAATCTCTCCTCCGTATCCTTCTTCCTCTTTTCTACCTCTTCCTCTCTCCACATCTCTCCCACTCTCGCTCGCTTTCCTCCCTCTCTCTCTCTCTTCCTATCACTCTTTTTCCATCTCTTCCTCTTCCACTCTCTCCTACTCTCACTTGCTTTGCTCCTTCTCTTTCTTCAACCACTTTTCTCCATTCCCCTGCCAATTTTTACCTCTCCCACTTTTTCTTCCTGTTCTACTTTCTCCTTTCTATCTTTTTCCTTCTCTTTTTATCTCCTTCTCTTCATTATCCACCTCTCTCTTTTCTCTTTATCCTTACTCTACTCCTCTCTCTTCTTCTCACGTTTATCTCAGCTTTTACATTTTTACTCTCAACTCCGCACCCACCCTCTCTTGCTGCCTCTGCCTCTGCCTCCCTCTCCCTATCTCTCTTACTTTATCTCTCTATCTCTCTCCCTCCTCCATACCATACCCCTCTCAAGGCCTATCCAACGGCCGTAAGCCGTTTTCTTCCGATTTCCTACACCACTTCCGGTTACTGGGCCTCTTGTGCTGCCAGTTCGGTATCAGCAACTCACAGAATTTTGAACAGCCAAAACTTTAAAGTGTTTTTTTATTGTCATTCAAGTCACTTATTTGATAGGCTTGCTGGCCATCTGCATGAATACATTACCAAACGAGTACAAAAATATGCCGAAAATATAGGGAGTAAGGAGGTAAAAATGACCGAAATTAAGCAAGAATTAAAGAGCGTTTGGTATTCTTCTTATATTATGTTCTGATGGTCCACCGTGTCAGTTATTCGCTCATTTCTTTAATGTGCAAGAGTGATGGTGCTCCACTCTCCTAGTGAGACTCAATTAATCCTAATGGATAATTATTCTTCACTTAAACTTTCCCTACCATTCTCAGCTCTTGATTAAGTTCCGCACGACAAAATCCCCGTTATCATTGACTCCCTAACCCTTATTTTACCCATCCAAGAAGGATTAGTGAAGCATTTATAGCAACTCGTATTTCTGGGTTACAGTTACACATCTTTACCCAATTTGTTTCCCTCTTTACAGACTATGACATCACAAAAGTTTGAGCGACTATGATTTTCTGATCTATTTAAGATTTCAGTTTTTTCATACTTTGTATTCATTAGCTTAAGAAAAGCATCCAGACTCTCCTAGCCATGCTGCCAGAGGGCGAGCTAGTTCGAAAAATGCCAAAGCAATAGTTTGGGCACTAAAGATGTTGCTTCATTTAGACGACCATCCAATTGAGCCCCGTAGTAATTTGTCAAAGTTGAGGATAGGCAAAATCCCATGATCAAAATTCGTGTTTTTTCATTCAATTATAACGTATAATCTAGTTTCACTACTGGAATCGTCAGTACCATGATTGTTTCCTTAAATACATTTTTATCCAATAACATATTCATGTTTTAAGCTGTGCCTTCAGAAGTAGTAGTGCGCATTCACACTGCATTAACGCTTCCAACTAAATTCTTCATTACCTTTCATTTTTTGTGTGTGCTAACTTAACGGCTTCATAGAAATTCTTCGTTGAAAGCCAAGAGGTCTCGGATGGAATTGCTTACCTTTGTGACAGATAAACAGTAATGCTGCCTCAGGAAAGCAATCCTTATTCTTCCTAATAATTGGAAATCTGACATTTTCTTTGCGTATTCTCGGCAGGCCATACAAATATGGAGGTCCGGCTTCAATTGCTCGTTTTTTAAACGCTATTGGGAAACTTTTTAACCCAATTTTTTCACTTTTTGTGGGATTACCACTTTTATGCCTGTAAATTGTAAACTCGATTTAGCCATACTTTTCGGTATAAGTAGGCCAATTTTTATATTTTTTTTAGATAATGCTTTTCCCTTGCAACTTGTTTCTCATGTACACCCATAGTTTCCTCTGTTCAATGACCGTTGAAATTAATGAATTCTATCTTTTTCCACTATCTTTATTACTCCTCAATGTAAAGTTCAGGCCTTTTATTTGTCACTTTATCTTTATGTCTCGTTTAGTATACTTGTCATCATTCAGACTCAGAAATGTGCTCAAATACGTCGTATAAATGTCCGGCATTACGCAATCATTGTGATAACTGTCTTTGGGTGAACAAGAAAGAATAATTAATATATTCAGTGTTTTTTCATTGTGGGAAAATTCAACTTGCCTATATTCAACTCATATATTATCTAATCATAAAGAGAAAAAAGTGATTCAACTTAAATGACCTTTGAATGGAAATCTCTGCTATTTTCTGACTAATCTGGACCATAACTTTCGGTTCGCATTTCTTTACAGGCCTACATGCATGGGCGCACAATCAGACTAATGTACATCCATATGGATAGATTTCGTGAAGAAATGACCAAAC